AGAGTAGAATAGTGATGCCGGGGAATGCGTTCATCAAAACAGAAAGCTCCGTGAAATCCTTGTCGATGAGCACGCACTGAAGACGCGTCCAAGCCGGGTTATTCGTCTTAAATTCTTCCGGTGCAGTCAACAATGTTCTCCTCTGCTCGTTGAGGAGTAGGGCATGCTGCACAAACTGGCCTTTTCCAAAAGTGTCGTGTGCCATGAAAGAGAAGACCTTGTACTTGGATCGATTGGTTCAATGCGTTGCGTCAATTAGAGGTACCTCCGGAAATTGAGTGAAGATCGACCGCATGTGTTTGGGCTGAAGCGTAACACAGGTTGCCAATTTCTAACATAATGAAACGTTTAGATAGGCAATAGCGAAATAAAATTTAAAACATAAACGTCGTATATCATACCTTTTCTCCCACATCGTCCACGAAGATGCGCCCCACGTTGCCAGGAACATCACCAAATTCGGACATCCACTTCCTTAATCGCTTTGAGCTAGAGGTTGGGGTTAATCCTTGTTCGCGAGCCTTCAATTTGCGAGCCAACTTGAAGGCATCCTGCGGCTTCGGATTGCTATCGCAATCGTCCTTGATAAGCTTGAGAATGCTTGTCTTTTTCGCGCCGGCCTTGCGGAGCTCGTCCACTGTCTCTACAGCACTCTCATCGAGGGACACACGGTTAGACGAGTGGCTTTTGGAAGCGTACTCGTTCAATGTGTGATTGTGCTGAAGGTGGCACTTCATAATCATTAGAGAAAATGTATGGGTAGCTTTATTGATCTCTTGAACGCACACATTGATCTGAAAACAACGAAATATTGCCAGCAGATATTAGCAAATTTGTCCGATCAAACCAGTCAATACCCAATCATATCAGACCATGCCATATTGAACCAGACCATGCCCGAATAAATCTGGCTTCGTCCAATTGATCATGCATCTTTCGCAGCACACCCGACATCTCTATTTGCAACAGCAACATACCTGAACAGAGCATCCAGAAGCTCCACTCTCCTGACGAGGCCTCTTACTTGTGGCTTGCGATCCGAAATTGCCTTAGTGCGTACACACGTATGTTTTTGCGTACTGGTCCCACTCGTCGGGAATCTTACACGCCTTGGATCCCTGGGCATCTATCCGAGCATTCCGTACTTGAACTGAGGTGTTCGTTCTGGTACGGTAGATCTAATATTGTGTCGATAACATGCCACTCGATTAGCTTAGATAACACTGGTTATAATTTTAAAAACTTTTCGCACTGTTCCTGGAACGACCGAGCTTGGTACTGCGCGAAGTATGCCTCGAATTCTTCCCACGACCTGAACTGCGTCTCCCCCGGAGGCGGAGCGATGACACAGACTGGTCTGGCTTCCTCGCTAGCGCTACTCGGCCCCGTCGTTTTCACACGAGGTGGGCTTAGTGACGGCTCCCACTCACTCAAAGAGCCGCCGGATGCGGCGCCGTCACTAATATCGTCGCTGGCTTCTGCCAACAGGGGGCGCTTTGGAGCGTTTTGTGGGCGCGGCGGCATTTGTGTCCGTTGGCGCCACGAATTTGCTGGAGGGGGAGGATTTTTTGTGTGGGAGGGGTATACGCAGAGTATACGCTGTACCCAATTCGGATATGGAAGATATTAGCAAATCCTAGCAAATCCAAAGATTACACAAGATTTGCTGCGAGTCGGATGCTCCCAGTCTGGCAAAAGACTCACTCTCTTTCAAAAGATGACGCGGACGAAGACACACTCACAGCCATCGAGGGCCTCGCAGGGTTTTCACTGTGAGTATACGCAATCAACGGGGAAGGAGTGGCTATGCGGTAAGCGCCTTTCATACGAGGGCTTCAGGACGCATATCATAGCTCACCTACAAGGAACAGGTAAAGTGTGGAAAAAAGAAATGTATGACGTATATGGATCTTGCGAAGATCGTCTATGCAGGATGGAGCGCTGGCTTCGCATCATTCCTGAGAAAGTTGGCGCTTGCCTCGAAGAAGACGGAGAGAACGACGACGATAGCGCAGTTAGCACGCCTATCTGCGTTACTCCAGCCGAAAGTCCACCCGCGCCTGTCGAGCCTGCTGCTGCCTCGCCACCGCAGACAGCTGACGACCCGCCGTCATCCAACGAGCCATCTGCGGAGAGCGAGCCAGCCGTCTCCAAGCCAGCCGTCGCCGAGCCCCCCAAGAATAAGCGCCGTGTGACCAAGCGAGGTTGCTCAGCGAAGAAGTTTTGTACCTAGTTACGCTGTGCACCTAATCTGGCACACTACGTATCGCTGGCAGGCCGCAAAGATCTTGCCTTTTGTATTGTGATACAGGCCGTGACCCATAACAAAAAAAGCTCGACACATCCTCTGTGTCTTGCTATACGATGCACACCAACCACAATAGTGTGTCAGCAACCACATAAGCAACAACACAAGCAACAATAGGAGCAGCATATCAATCGACCGAGTTTAATCTCATTACCACGCACCAGTAAATGAGTTTAGCGAATGCTGCTTCCATTGTATCTCTCTCCACCACCTTCATGTTAGACTTGTCTCACTTGCAGACTGCACGCCAGTACGTCAGCGCATGAAGCTGACAAAGAAAGGCTTTCGCTTCTGGAGACTCTTTTTCCAGAACACGCCATTTCACAAAATCTTTGTCGATGATTAGTGTTTGGATCAGCTCTTGAACGGTTTCTTGGACAGGCCTGGTTCAGTGCTAACGGCTGCTTGACGCGCCTTGATAATCTTCTCACACGCTTCAAATGTTTTTGTACGACGCCGGGCTCGCTGTTGATTGACAGCACTCGTGCTCGTAGCGGTGTTTGTGAGACTAGTACGGGTGCGCTTGAATGGACGACAATCCTCACCATCTTCTTCAGTGCAAACCGATCTCTCATGCGGTGACTCATGTCGCCTCTTGTGATTAACTCACTCCAGCTCAGCATCGGTTCGAGCGGCCTGAACAAACTAAAGGATATAGTCTACCGAAAACCAAAACCAGGAGCAATATAGTAAGCAACACAATTATTCAAGCAACATACCGTGCGTACTTGCATTCTCGTCGCCATTGTCACTCATATTAGCGCCACCATCGCCGTCCCACCCGCAACCGTGTCGTCGTCACCATCTTGTGCCGAGGACACTGGCGTGCGGGCCTCTGCCGTGTCAGTGTTCGTTACGCCTGCGTCCACAGGAGTATCCGTCACTTCGGCAAACAGACGACCATATTGTAAGCACTAAAACTTAATCAATTATCGCCATTAACAAATACATGCCCATGTTATCTGCGACATCATCCTCATCCTCATTCACCGTGCCAGGCATGACCGCGGCCGCGCCTTCTTCTATTTCCACACCCGACACACGAGAATCGATATCATTTGTAACTCGTTCTCACCAACGTCTGCATCCTTCTTATACGTAGCCTCGCTCTTTTCACCCGCACTCCCTATCGCACCCTCTTCATTCGTTGCTGCGCCCTTCGCGTCCTTCTGGTTCGTGGTCGCGGTGACTCTAGAGTAATCAGGCTTGGTAATGTCGTCATCGCTGATTTCGTCTTTGAGGCTTTTCATGTCTTCCTCCGCATTCGCCACGTCATCCTTCGTCAGAAAGGAGTCATCAACGTAGTCGTCGTCGCTGGAAGAATCCCGAGAAACCCTTGAACAGACCGAACATAATCCACAGTTTTCCTCTCTCGCAACCAGCGCCCTAATTAGACGCTCCACAACAAAATCGGCTCGTTCGTGTGTTAGCGCAGCTCCTCGGGCTACTCTACCACACGCAGCCTACCCTTAGCATTCGTGCGCGCATGGCTTCCCGCATTCCTGGCTTCGACATTTAGCTGTTCTATTTTCACATGAAATGTGAGGCTCGTGCGCTTCAAATTTGACCAGCAAAAAAAGAATTTTAAAGAATTCGTAAATGTCGCTTTTGAAATTTTAGAGTAAAATAAAAACTACAGCTTACCCAGCAACACAATCGCTGCTGTGTCACTCAGATGGAGTTATCGTCTTGTAGGAAGCGGGATGTGGTAACGACTCTGAGTAGCGTTTTTACAAGCTGAATAGGTGGAGGACCGTTTTGTAAGGTACGATATCTATTTTTTGTATCCATTACGTTACAGTATGGGCAAAACGCAGTTAAAATAAAATACGTGCCAGCAGTACCAAACTTGTCGTTGTCCATAGCTTATTTTCAACCAATGAAACAACCGCATTCATCGCTTTGACCAATTGGGCTAGAGATACAGTAACCCCGGCTATCTTTATTAAAAACACACGTGTACGGCAAATAGATGCTCATGAATGGTCGTTATCTTCGAGCTTCGCTTTTTCGTTGGACTCGAATCTCTTGGTTTTCTCGTTCAGGAACAGAAATTTCAAATCTGAGCCTAGCTTCAGCCGAAAGAGATGCATCATGGAACTATGAATACTCTATTCTTGCGTCGATCAAGACGGACGCTGAGAGTGCCCAGGGCTCGGAAGAATAAAGGCGTTTTGACTTGGCAAGGTGGATTTATTTAGACAGTGACGTTCAGCGGAGCTAAATCAGCCTTAAGTTGCACCACTAAATGAATAAACAGGAATTTAACACCCCAGTATGCACACTTTTAGGTAACAATACGATTAGCAGACGACCGATGTTTTACTGGTAGAGCTACTCCTTCAGTTGATTGCAACTTGATCATTTTTTAACTGTCATTTTGTGAAGAAAACACGGTAAGAAAACGTGCAAGCGTTTTCTTGGTACGTTGTCGATGTAAACCACCTGTCGTTCTCTTTTCTTGCAAGGTCCAAGTAGCCATTCTTCTTCAACCATTCAATATACTTCTTGAGAAACCGCTTGAAGCCTGACGGAGTCGACCACCGCCCACTATACAACAGAGTTTCCCATTGACGTCGGCATACGTTTTTTTCTCCGCAACTAGTTCCTTAAATCTTCGCTCGAGTATGCCTGCCTCCTTCTTGAGGTACCACGCTTTGAGACGCCTCCATAGCTCTCGACGGTTCTCTTACTAAAGGTGTTTGGATGTATCAACTGTTCTCTTGCTGATACTCTTGGCTTTCTCGGCGATCGTCTGGGCAATACCTCGCTCTTCAGTCTCATCCCTGCCGCTGTCGCCTCTACGAGTGTCGAGCTCGATGGCATTTTCTACCGCACGGACGTGTGACGTCGACTTGCTAGATAATACGCGCGGTAGTGGCTTGTTCTTGTCGAATGAAGCGGCCTCACAGCTCGAAACGAAGATGGCCAAAGTCGCAATCAATACCCACAGGAGCACTCGCATTACTGTGCAAGCTGGTTCGTGGGAGTGTCGAAAGCCTTGTTGTTGTTATGGGTGGATTCCAAAATGACCAGTAATTACTGTAACAGCTTGTCTCTATACGGGCACACCTACCCAATCTCAAGAAAGGAGTGTTAGCCAATGAAACCACAGAAATCCGAGATCAGGATAATCGTTTCTCAAATGCAGAAACGCTGATCTACCGGCTCTTCAGATTCTGGGATGTTGGCAAATTATTCATTCACTTGGCGTTTGTAAGCAACCAGAGGGTGCGGCTTATCTGCTATACAAAATCGGATGCTTTTCAATACAATTTCCATTGGATACTTCTGTATGTATTATGCAAAGCATGTGGTATTAGAACTACTTTGGTTATCACCACGATGTCGTGAGTCACGCTTCGACTAGAAAAGACGCGCTGTAACGTTTAGCCCTTCGTGGTGGCACTTGTTAATCAGCGCAGCCAATTGATCCACTTCCAGCAATTTCCTAGCACCATTGTTGAACTCAACCGCCCAGTTATAGACACCTCTTGGCCCAACACAATTTTGCCAATCCACAACTCGGCCAGGTACATTTCTCAACGTGATTTTTCCTTCGGTGTCTTCAACTGGAAGTTGTTTGGTCACGTTCCACCCAATTGGAAAGGATGGTTTTTGAACAAATTGTTTTTCCAGTTTTCCTACAGTCGTCCTTGCTCAGACAATTTGTTTTTTTCGCTGACTCACACTCTGTTTCCGAACAGGCATGTGAGCGGTTGCTGTTTGCAGGTCATATTGCTTCATCAGGGCAAGTGTTGCAATAACGTGCGTACATGGCTGTATTCAGATGTATCAGCACTGTGTAGCGCTGTAACAGCAGCATCTTCTGTAAAATGGGTTGGGATAAACCGGAATGAACTATGTGCGACGTTAGAAGAATCACCCTCAGGCGGCAAGACCTCTGGATCTTGTCCATCGTCGCTCATGACTGCGGATCAGCGTCTGTTGGCGAATGCGCCGTCTCGTGTCATACCAGGATGTCTAAAAATATCAATATGTTGTAACACACACAGCTGTAATATAAATAAACGGGACAGAGTACATCAATACCACCTTTTAGCTATTGAAAAGCATCCTTTTTTTAGAGGTGTTGAATTCAATCTTTTTTTGTATTGAAAATAATCTCTTTCCGCAACTACAATCACAAATCTTGATGTAAAAAAGTGGTCTCCTTAGTGAAAACAAGATGAAACTGGATGTCAGCTATCCGGCTAGTTACTGGAGCTGCCTTTTCACCACCACCAAAAACGCGTTGCTATAAAATGTGAACATCGTGAATGTTTTTCGTAAAGTTACTTGTACAATTCGGAACTTGAATCTCTGGTGATAAACTAACTATTAAAGTACGAGAGAAACTAGCCTTGAGCTACTTGACGCCTTCAGATGTTGTGCTACATGCAGTAGATGAGTCTAATGCTGTCGATACAGGTACTGTATATGAGACTGCGTCAAACAAAATGTTACTTATGAACCTAAGTACGAATCGCGATTTAAGCACTCTAAACGAAAGCGGGGCGTCTCTTCTATCTTTTGAGCCCTTATAAGCTGCAGAATGCTTAAAACGGAAGAAGTTGTGGTCGCTCAAAAATATTATCTTCATTTATGGGCCCTCGAAATGACGATACATTTAGGAGTGTTGTGAGCTCAATATTTTTCAATTTTAGAGATTTAAGTGTTATTTAAGAGCTCGTGTTAAAAGCAATTGAATAAGGGTGGTTTTACAGTTTTTTTCGATGGAAGCTTACAATAAATGTCACTGTTTCTCATAAGTGCGAAAATCAATTGGCCAACTTTAAGCCCGATTATCTCGATAAGTCTCAAAGGTTCATAAGTAACATTTTGTTTGACGCAGTCTCATATGTTAGAACGAATTTGGTGTACCGGTATATTAAACTTAAATATATGTGCCGCCTATGTTCTTGTCTTTCAAATCACTGCCTCCTCTATTGTCATTTAGTCACCAGAGCGCCCTTTGAGAAAGGAATGTCTGTTGGAGGGATGATTTGCGCAGAGTTGTTAGGGCAGTACAGTATGGAGTGAGGACACAAGGAGAGTGGTCTATGCGGCCATAGTGGAGAGGAAGTCTTGAGTGTAGAAGGAGAAGACGCTTGTGGTGGACTTGGTAAAAGGAGAAAGGATGAATTACAGAGTCTGCCTACTTCAACAATGTGGTAG